AGCTCTGGCGGACTTGGTTCTATGGTAGGTCTTAAAGGGTTAATGATCAACAAACTGGTCTCACAGCCCACTGTTTCCCCAGTGGTGCCAGTTTCAGTCATTGTGCGAATGTCCTGTTTATGAGGCTGGAAACCTGCAGTCAGCTGAGACTGAAGAAGTCAGCTGATGATGGTGGAAGGTTTCTCCCACTGAAACGTCCAGATGAACAGACTCTGGGGATTTCTTACCTGGATGACTGAGGATGCATCAAGACTTTACAGCTGTACAAACTACCAAAGCATGTATGGAGATTCTTTTGACCCTGCTGAGATGATGCCACCACGATTACATTTAAAAATCTGCTTCTTTTTTTTTTAATCCTCCAACTAATGGGAATCAGAGGTCCCTTAAATTATCATCTGAATCGTGCAGTATAGACTACTATTAATACATACCTTGCATTATTTGGCATATAAAGACTTTGTTGATTTATTTAAATGTGCATGACAATTATGGTGCAACTGCAGAACTTGGGCCATAATCTGACGTGCTCTTCTGTACAGGTCAGCTGTAACACATATCAGGTTTACTTTGTGGACTAATTTGTAATATAGCAGCTCTCCTCCTGATAAATTCAATTGTATTTATATCACACCAAATCACAACAGCAGTTGTCTCAAGGTGCTGTGTGCTGTAAAGCAGGGATGTCCAGCTCCAGGCCTCGAGGGCCGGTGTCCTGCAGGTTTTCGATGTGTCCTTAATCCAACACAGCTGATTTAAACGGCTAAATGACCTCCCCAACATGTCCTAAAGTTCTCCAGAAACCTGGTAATGAACTAATCATGTGATTCAGGTGTGTCCAGGGTGAGATCTAAAACCTGCAGGACACCGGCCCTCCAGGCCGGGAGTTGGACACCCCTGCTGTAAGGTAAAGACCCTGCAATAATACAAAGAAGAACAGCCAACAGTCACATGTCCCCCTGTAAGCAAAACACAGCATTACAACTACTGAGTATCAGCCTAAGTTGCTGCAATGAATCTCCGGGGAAATGAACTAGGCCGTCACATCATTATTTCACTTTGACTTTAAGATCGTCTTTAAATCCACCCCTCTGTAGGTTGATCCTCTTCATTTAAGTTCAGATGTTCTCAGGAATCTGAACATTACTCAGATTTTTCCCAAAACCTCAGGAATGTTCTCAGCACGTTGCTGAAACCAGGCTGTGCAGACCTGAGGGAGTTCAGAGGGCAAAATTGGTCCAACCTGCAACATGCAAGCTGTGCCTAAAGAGGAGTGTGTTACTCCATTTTATTAATGTGTAACAAAAGAATCCTAAAACTAAATCCTGAAATAGACTTGATGGTCATGAAGCAGATCATCCAGGACGGGGAAAGAGCAGAGCGTGCTGAGAGAGAAAGCCATCACAAGGACTAAAGGCGCCAACGCAGATCAATAAGATGCGATGAGAGTGAAAGGAAATGGAGACGGGGCCAACAAATAGGGTTACTGTACAAGTTTCCAAGAATCCTTTGTGAAGTCACGTAAATACATTGTTGATGTGGATTCAGCACACAAACCAGGATACTGACAGGATTCAGAGTCCAGTTTGATTTGAACCAAGACATTTTTAAGCACAGTGGTTAGCGCTGCTGCCTCAGTCAGCTGGGTCTGCGTTGGCATGCATCATCATTTGGCGTTCGTGTGCTCACTCCAGCTGCCAGCCACATAACACATGCTTCTTAGGTTAACTAACCATGGTTGGTGTCACGGAGTGTGTCCCTGTCTGTGTTAGAGTACTACACCTGTCACCTTATGACAACCAGGTGCTGGTTCAGGGTGACAGGTGGTCTCTAACCTTCTTTCCACTGGTGCTTCAAACGCCTACTTTGTGTGAATGTGATTTAAGTGTTTATATGGTGACACCAACACAATCTTTGTCATACTCAAGGAGAGCAACACAATCCAATCAGTAATATAGTTCATTTCAGGGCCTGAATATCTGTTTACCCCATATTACAACAGTCTCACTACTTTGCACACTTTAACGGGTCAGTTTGGATCCAAAGCTCCCACCTTTTTTGTTCAGAAATAAAAAATAAATTAGACAAACAGCTGACGTCATGTTGCTGACCATGGCTTCCACCACAGCAGCTGCTCTGCCACCATTTCACCATAAATCTGGTGTACAAAATTAAAATGTCAAAGGTAGAATAATTATGCCCGAAGCCTAAAATACAACGTACAATCAAAGAAACCATTTAACAGTCACGGGGACATTTTAGCAGTTTGAACAGGAAAAGCCAGTTTGGAAACTTTCAACTTTTCCAAAGTGCTGAAACTTCACGGGACATCTGGAGAGTAAGCGGAGCTCCTTTGGTTTATGTTTGAAGAAAAGTAAAAGAAAAGTGCATGAACACTTCACTAGAACAGGGCCGAGGCTGTTGGTATGCAACCCCCCCTTTTGTTAAAATAACAGATTAAATTCATACAAAACTAGCAGGTGGCTTGCTCGTGCTTCAGAGGCCTGACTTAGTGATTGAATCCAGGGGTGAGCACTGAAACGGCACATTTAGGCCGTAAAGCTTTTTTAAAAAGGTTTTTGACTGCAGCTGAATTTGGACCGAGCCCTGCTCCCTTTGCTCTGACACCGACTGCATCCCAGCACACTCACCTGTGAGAGCAGGTGCTGCTCAGCAACAACATCACCATAGTAATAATTATTCTAATAATCCTGCACTCTCCCATGAGATGCATGTTTTGGGATAACGAGTGTTGAGCCGTGCAGTGACACTACAGGCAGGTTATATTTTCCTACCAAATAACTATTTCAGTTGGTCCTTATAATAAAGTCTAATAAAGTCACACATACGGGGACTGTCCCGTATTTGGATGCCCGACCCCCCATGGAGTCTGCCATGTGTTCGGCCTCGGTCTGGAGTAGATCGGCAGTGCTTCACGTTTATTTCCGTAGTTTTCCGTCGGAACTGCGGAGAAGGTCCAACCGTAGCACCGGGAACAACAGCCCCCTCCCCCAATGCGAACAACGGGATCAGTGGGCAGTAGCAAGCCTTAATATTAATGTGTACGTACAGCATATAAAAACAAGCCATCGTTCGACCACAGGAACATTATGCAGCACACAGGAACCCAAACAGCCAGGCATCCCGCACCCCCCTACCTGTACTGAGCGGCAGCGCCGTGGGTAAATCCAAAGTAATTGCCGGTAGCCATTTTGGCATCTTCACCAAGCCGGCCAGGCACTGCGGAGGACACACACAGGATAAGCTAACCGTTAGCAGCGGTCCAACAACTATTTATTCACGGTTTTATTGCCTTTCTTACGCCTGCAAACACATCAACATTTTTAAAGTTGTCCTTAATATAAATTCACATTTGGTCGATACTTACCATAGGTGAAGGATACTACTGGACATATGGGAATCATTGGTTTTGTATATTCTACCCACTCTCTGCAGCGCTACACCAACCTATATATATTACATGTCGCACCCGGAAATGGCGTCATGACGCATGCGCAGAACGGTAGAACGTTAGCGTTGGGTGCGGTCCTACAGTGAGCAGAGACACACACACACTGCTGTAACATGTCTGAATAGCGTTGGGACAGGGCCGTGATCCCGCTGTGCGGCGCCCATCGTCTTTTAACAACAGTCCGTAAACATGTGCTTACTGAGGACAGCAGCTGCTCTCATATGACTGTAGATGCTCAGCAGACCCCACTCGCGCTTTTTACACTTCACTGAGCGGCAGATGTTTTCAGTTTATGAACGTCTGGCATTTATAATCGTACTTTTCTAATCTTACTGATCACTCGTATTACTTCACACCACACATCCATAAAGCAGCACTGTCAAATATTACTCGTTTCAACATACTAACCGGATGTAGAGGACTCAACAAATGGGCTCTGGGAACATTTTGATTATCTTAAGTAATTCTTTAAGCCTTCCAACATCTATGTCAGCACTCCTGTAAGATTGATCTCAGATCTTACATTTAAATTTGTACATTAATTTAAATTGTTTTTCAGTCATTTATGCTTCAGATTTTATTTTAAAAAATTAAAATAAAACAGATTTAAGTATTCATTTCATGCATAAAGTTTGTTACATGGACATGACAGTTAGACATGAACATGGTCCATCTTACTCATGTGAGAAACATCACAATCCATCACAGTTCACATAATACTGCCTGTAAATAAATAAACGTGAACTTGGCTTTGGCAGTTTGGGTGAAGATTCATTAGGTGATCAGTTTGTGCAAGTTTGATTAAAATGTGACTGATACTCTATGAAGTAGTGATTTTTGTGAACTGTGGACATCTGGACAACAGAACCTTTACCATGGCAGGAGCTTAGTCTTTCAACAGGATGAGCTAAAACTGCTGCATTAAAATTCACAGCATGGACATCAGTGTGTGAATATAAACTATAAAACACCTCAAACTCTGGTATTTGTCGTGGTCAGAGTATTCTCTGAATGTTCCAACAACCAGTAAACACAAAATATAAAACGTTTGAATTGTCCCTCATCTTCCAAGGTGAAGTTAACATTCCCTCTTGACATCTGATTTCCCTGCAGCCCTCACCGTTTCCTGTTGGCTGGTTAAACCCTTAAAATTGTGCATTGATATCAGTGTAGCAATGTAAGGAACATACAGGCAGGACTAAGTAGATACAATCTTCCTATGAAAAACATTGGGCCTCACTCAGTATGTGTATGGAAACATTCATATCTAGTGCAAAAACAAAACAAAACAAGTGCACACACAAAAATACAGAAAACCTACAAATTTATTTCTTACCACTGTGTGTTTGTTAGTGAGTCTGAATCATCCAGATACTGCCCTGCCTCTACTTCTCTTTGCAAATAAACAAGTTTACTTCAAGGTGAAGTGAAGAAAGTGAAACTCTTAATACTAATAGTAATCATCAATAGTAACTATAATCAGTCTTTGTACCATTATTATTATTACTGCTGTTGTTTCAGTTTCAATTGTATTTCTATAGCACGTTTAAAAGACTCGGGTACATCAAAGTGCTTCACAGACGAGCCGCATTTGCGGGGTTACAGCAGTAAAGGAGCAGGAAAATACAGTTATCAGCAAAACTAAATACAGTTATAAGATGGTGACAACAAGCGTTGTAGTAGTTACCATTTGATCATTAATTACATTTCCAAAACACCATGTGCCAAAAGATTCTTAGAATAACAATAAAAATTTCTGAAAATGGCCTTAAGGCTCGTGTGTTTCCTGGGTGGTACACGTCTGCAACATTGTGTTGAAGTCTTGTGGTGTAACAAGGGCCAGCACTTTATCCTCTGAAGAACAGTGTTGACAAGTTTGCCCAACTGGTCGATATGTGTGTGGCTTTTTTTAACCCCCCCTTTATTTTAACCGCATCTCTTGGGGTTGTTTTGTAGTATGAGGCATCATGTCTGTTGTTACAAACTGGGCATTAGTACAGTTGCAGTGACAGCTTGGTTCACATTGTTGGAATGAGGCTGTTCATAGTTTTTGAACAGAACTTCTGCGTACATACAGTGGTGTGAAAAAGTGTTTCAGATCATTAAACAAATTTAAATATTAGACAAAGATAACAAAAGTAAACACAAAATGCAGTTTCTCAAAGTGTTTATTATTTATGTTAAGGTGCGTGGCGAGAACGGGGCCCAAATGCAGGACTTTCCAATCCTGCAGGACTGTGCTCGTGGTCCAGGTGTGACAGGAAAACAACTCCAACACTCGACATTTACAAACACTTTGCTCCTGTGACTCCTCTCCAAGTTCCTAACAAGACAAGGTACAGAGATCAGACTGGTGAACTCACAGAAACACACGCAAAGACTATTTCAGGGCTGGGATTTCACTTACTTGGTAACTCAACGATCCAGCGTTGACTGAAGCTCAGTCAAACAGTTAAGTAGTGGCCAATCTAGACGGAAGACAGGTGTGGCGGCTTCAACACGGGAAACACCTTTTGGCCTGATGACGCCCATAAACTGGCAAGCTGGAGAACACACACACACACTTAAAGGAGGAAGCAGGGGACTGGCAGGGGAGACAAAACAAAACACATAGAAAAACATACATACAGGCAGGTCGACTGACAGAGACTTCCAGAGCATCACAATTTAGGAGGGAAAATCCAAACCTACATCATATACAGAGAAAATACTGTGAAAT